TTTTTTTTTTTACCCAGTCATTTAAAAATAACACATTTTAGAGCTGTAATGACAATACCGTGAAACCGTGATATTTTTGCTTAAGGTTATCATACCGTCAAAATCTCATACCGGCCCATGCCTAGTCTGGAATACTCAGTTCTAATTGGAAGACTCGTCACACTATGCGGCCTCCTCTGTTTTGTGTTGGAGTTTATTTTTTGATAGTGACCACCTTGCTGACTTCTGGCCATGAAGATTGACCAAGAAAAACAATGGATTCATCTCCTGTGCTCAGATGTTCATATTGATTCGGATATGTGTGTGTGTGTGTGTGTGTGTGTGTTTAGGTTTTATGCTGCAGAAATCGCCATAGGCCTGTTTTTCCTGCATGTGAAGGGTATTATATACAGGTGAGTGAAGCCCAAACAGCAACACACATGTCAGTCACACATAGAAGTGAGAAGAGAACAATTGACTGTTGGCCACCACAAGGGTCTTTAGAGTTGCTGGGATAATAGACGACTGGCTTCCAGAGCAACACACACCAAACACACTTGCTTACACACAGTAATTGATCTTAGTCAGAGTCTATGCTGTATTTAGTTTGACGCAAAAAAAAAAAAATGGCCTTGAGGAATGGAAGTACTGTCCGTTCAATTTATTGGACTGTTGTTTAACTGGGCAACGAGCGTTTAGCCAGTTGAAACATTGACATAATACAATAAGTCTTTCCAGAATTTTTTAGTGGCCAAAAAACATTCAACATCTTGAGCTGTGATTAATTAAACATGATCTCTGACTTTATAAAACAGTGAAGTGTATTGAATCGTCTTGTGTTTCATTGCATTTGTTTTTCATTGTACAAGTGCAGCGAGTGATCCCCTGGATGGTGGCCTAAACAGGAAGTAGAGCTGTAATCCAGGCTGTTAACAGAAAACCTCCACCGCATGTTTCCACTACAAACAGACAGCACTCATGAATTCTTTACAGAGCTTCATCAAGCTCACCCGTGCTTCTCTTCATAAAGCTGCTAGGGTTGGCCAGTATAATGAATATTAATGGTGTATTTGTGGTGATTTTGCTGGTGAAATAAAAAAGCGAGTGAATATTGCAATGATTTTATACAGTTTTTATTTGGCCATTAGGTCTGCATTGTTGAACTAGTTTCATGACTTGAGAAAGATGTTAGCGTTTGGGATTGAAAAACAGTGATTGAGTGGCAAATTCATTTAGTTTATTTTTTAAATGTTCATTGCAATGGACTGATACACATATAAACACACAAATATGATACATGTACAAATGTGTTGGTAAATATTGCTGTTTCTCCACTGACTCCTCTCACATATTTGTGCATCAGAGATCTAAAGTTGGATAATGTCATGTTGGACATGGAGGGTCATATCAAAATTGCTGACTTTGGAATGTGCAAGGAGAACATGCTTGATGGAGTCACCACCAAGACCTTTTGTGGGACACCTGACTACATCGCCCCTGAGGTGAGTGCTCAAAGACGGCCTTGTGTTGGATGAGAAAGGAGAGCCAGTGGCCTACATATTTCATGCATGTATAATTCGGGGCAGGCGTGGCCTAATGTTTAGAGAGTCGGACTTGTAACCCAAAGGTTGTGGGTTCGAGTCTCGGTACCGTCAGGAATTGTTGGTGGGGGGAGTGAATGACCAGCGCTGTCGTCCACCTTCAATACCACGACTAAGGTGAGACCCTTGAGCAAGGCACCGAGCCCCCAACTGCTCCCAAAAAAATGGCTGCCCACTGCTCCAAGTGTATGTTCACGATGTGTGTGTGTGTTTATTCACTACTCACTGCTGTGTGTGTGTGTGCACTTGGATAGGTTAAATGCAGAGCACAAATTCCGAGTATGGGACACAATACTTGTCCACGTCACTTTTACTTTTACTTTTACTTTTGCGCATCTACTAGGGCTGCGTTTCCTAAAAGCACCGTAAGGGAAATTGTGCCATTTCATATTCATCATGAGCTCGTATTGGAGAAGATGGGTTTGTTACCCAGAGGCAGCTTCATGCAATAGAGAGTTACGTTGATAAGATATCTCACGTTCCTCTCATCGAGCACCAGATGGTATTGCTCCAAGTGTAACACCAGCAGCATGAGCTAGAGATGGATTCATGTCAACAACACACTCCCAAACCAAGACCCAACATGCTGTAAGAGTGAAGGGATTTCAGTTCATCTAGTCCTCAAAGCTTAAGCGGCTTGTTTCTTATTGTGTGAAAGACACTTCACAGTACATAAAACACATTGTAACACATGTTGAAAGCACCATAATCACTTCTGAAACTCTTGACAGAGCGCACGACGGGATTTATTTTAATATTCACAGATGTCCTTAGAGTGTCACCCATTTGTAATTGTTTTTTTTACGCCTTACGTTCTGAGTGTGTCTGTTTCAGATCATCGCTTACCAGCCTTATGGAAAGTCAGTGGACTGGTGGGCTTTTGGAGTTCTGCTCTATGAGATGCTGGCTGGGCAGGTAAGAGTTATGATAACCCTGATCAAGAAGGCCCAAGTCAGGGGTTTGTGCCTTTTGGGCCTTCTCTCATTCGCTCTGTTTCATTTCCTGTTTCTCTGCTGCTTGCAGTAAATCACCTCTTGCTATCTCAAGGTCAGTTTTTATTAATTACGTTCTGCAAATCTCCCGAGACTAACGGCAAGTATTTCATGCCTATCGGGCTCAGTCAATTATTTATGAATTGTTCTGAAACAAGTCAAGCTTTGAACGCTGGAGAAAAAAAGTCTGAATTGTTTCCAGCGGAGACTGCTACTGCTGAGCTGTCCTGACAAAAGGATGTCGTAATTCTCTTTTCTAGTCTTCGCTAAACAAACAAGACTTGAAAGGCACTTTTATGGTGATGACTTTCAAATTTCCAGTGTTAAAGGGACACAAATGGAAAAATAGCAAATTATGCAAGTTACAAGATCCATGTTATTATTGTTGACCATGTATAGTAAACAGCATTGTCCTCTCATCTTCACTGTCTCTTCTCTCTATCTCTTTTCAAAGCCCCCATTTGATGGTGAGGATGAGGATGAGCTGTTTCAGTCCATCATGGAGCATCATGTGTCCTATCCCAAATCCATGTCCAAAGAAGCTGTGGCCATCTGCAAAGGGGTGAGCAGCCAGTATACATAAAATTCCTGAAACCCTATCCAATATCCTGTCTCACAATGTCCAACACAATTTAATGATGATGATGATGATGATTACTATTCTTATCATTATTATTCACTACTGTTAAAAATTTTGGGGCAGTAAGTTTCTTTTTTTTTCAGATTTGTTTTGAAACAAAACAAATGTTTCATGTTGGATGCAATTATGACAGTAAAGTGACAGTACTGATATGCATAACATTGCTAAATATTTCTATTTCAAATAAATGCTGTTGAACTTGACAAAAATGAAGCAGTGTTTTCAACATTGTTAATAATAAGAAATGTTTCTTGAGCAGAAAATCCGCACATTTGAATGATTTCTGAAGGATCATGTGACATTGAAGACTGGAGTAATGATGCTGAAAATTCAGCTTTGCATCACAGGAATAAATTACATTTTAAAGTATATAAACAGAGAAAATATTTATTTTAAATTGTTATAACATTGTTTTAACATTTCAATTACGTATTTACTGTATTTTGCTCAAATAAATGCTGCCTTGGTAAGCAAAAGAGACTTCTTGCAAAAACATTTTTAAAAATCCTACCGACTGTTAATGTAAATTATTTAAATTACTTTATTTAACCATTTCTCATGACCATAATGCATTAGGAATTGCATCGATTTATTTGATCAAAATACATGCCTTCTTTTAAATGATCATCAACTGAGAGAGATGCAGCAGAATGGTGTAGTTACAAGACCTACCAGCAGGGTCATGCTAGCAAGTCACACCTTGTCCCCTTGTCCTGAGGTAACCCAAAGTATCAAATTCAGTTCAGAGTGACTAATGGCCCGGAAAGGTGCAGGTACAGTCCATCTCATCAGTGTGTCCCTGAGAAAGTACTGAAGTTGTTTCAAGGTGACTGTCTCGGCAGTTCACATACTGTAAGTGGCTTCGAATGAAAAAAGTCCAGTTATTATATGACTTCATATGATGCATTATGAATCACTTATTCATTGCAGCACTGGTCATCGCAGTTTGATGAAAAATACCACAGCCTCTGACCTATCCTATCAATATGCGCGTCACGGCCCTCTCAGAATTCGCCAGTTCTGTCTGTCTCTCCATCGCTATCTTTCATTCACTCTGTCTTTGTTATTAGGAGGCCAGTGGTGCTCCAGACTCGAGCGCTAGCAGGTGAAGCAGCGAGTACACATGATCTAATTCTTTATTTGAGAGATCTTCTCTCCTGCAGATAAAAGCACACAAACATACGGCCTTAGACAGCACTTAGTGGGAATGCCAATGACTCTTGGCTGTGTGCAGGACCCAGGAGCTCAGCTCTGTTAGTTGCTGGCTTATACTGGAGCACGGCTAGGCTGGGTTTGAATGAATATAAATGTTTTTTTGTTTTTTTTTGCCCAAACAAAACCAGACAAAAGCTGCAGAATGTCAGGGGCATCTTAGTAAATAGTATAACGTATTCCCTAAAAAGTGCTCGAAAGGGAGCTCTCTCCTATTTGCTTATTCTTTACATGTTTCTGTTCGTTCTCCTTGTCACTGCGGTGCCAGAGTGGAGCATATGGCTGCTGAGAAAAGTAGTAAAGAGTCTTGTAGAAGAATGAAAGCCAGGCTTGTGTGTGGGTACATTCTTACGATGCTTGGGACATGACACATCTGTTATTCAGATGAATCTCACCTGTCAACATGTCTGGGCCATATTTCACCCCACCTAAAATTAAAATAAATAAGAAAATGAAACATTTCTATTTTTTAAAACCATTGAAACCTTTATTTTAACCTTTCCAGTTGTCATTACAGTAATGCAATAATAAGTAATGCAATAATAATAATAATAATAATAATAATAATAATAATAATAATAAATGAATAAAAAATATATATATTGCATTTCATTATGATTTTCGTTTTCAAACGTTTATTTTTTCAGTCTTTAAATATATTTTAAATATTTTTGAGGGGACTATTAAGATTTTCTTTTGCATCGTGACAATATTTTCGATTTCCCTGTTTGCATTACCATCATGCAAAAAATAAATAAATTGTATTGTTTAATTGTTTTATTACCCAAGTTTACCTAATATAGAAATATAGTGTTTATACATCATGGTAGTATTTGTTGTGCTGCCTAAAATTATGCTGAAACATCATGAAGTTACATGTGTAATTACCATTATTGCAGAGGATGACTACAGTAATAATAATTTACAATAAAAATGCTGAATTGGCATGAAATTAAAGTCGCAATTTAAGTACTGAGTAATATTAATTAACTACATGTACTTACTATATGATTAGGGTTAGGATTATGGTTACTTGCATGTAATTATGTATAATTAATTGTTATTATAATAGTAAGTACATGTAATATGTAAACTCATCATAAACTCATAAACTCATCCTTTCTAATCATCCTACTACTTGTCCGCTTGATCCTATTCCATCTCATCTCCTTCAAGCCATTTCTCCTGCAGTTGTACCTGCACTCACTCACTAGCATGCTGCCTGGTGACCCATTTTGTTTGAGTTAGGACAATGGAAATCTTTCGTATTGGGAGGACAACAAGTTCTGGAATATAAAGTGGAAAGAGAGATGTGAGAGCAGGTGTCTCCAGAGGGACCTGCGCACTAATACATTCATGCTAATGTGAACATTAAATAATGAATAAACCCTCTGCGTTCAGAATCTGAATGCTGCCCCTCTTTGACTGGCTTCATGAAAATGCAGCTTGCTTCTGGGTAAAGCCTGATAAACAAAAGACCCCCTCCTCTCCTCCCTCTGTTCCCTCTCTCTTCCTCGTTTTTCTCCATCCTTTCGTTTTCGATGTTTTCCCACATAGATATAGATGCTCTGCATAACCCTTGTCCTTTCTGCTTGTCGATTTTTCTTCCTTGACTTATCCTGCCTCTGTCTTCTCCTCAGCTTGTCTGCAGAGCTCATTGTCTTCATTGAGTTCAGTCTCCCTCTCTTCTTCATAGGATCTGCTATAAGTGCTTGCTGAACTTCTCTAATAGCTTAATTCTGCAGTGCAGCAAGTGTGTCCGATCCTGGAGGCCTCTCTCCCCAACAATCTCCTAAAATAGAGCAGGAATACTAAATGAATCCCTGACATTTAAGACAGATTGGAAAATCCTGTAAGTTTGGACAAGCGCGGCTTTAGGCACGGGCCTCTGCCGCCCGCCCTGCCGGCAAAGCTACAATGGAGCCATGCAATATAAATGAGGTATTTCCCTTAACCAAGCGGAGCAATCGTTCTTCCAGCATGGTAATTGAATGACTAATTTAGTCTGGCCTTGTGACTTTCAGAGGACAGATGGATAAATTGAACCTGTCGTAAACAAAATGTTGATGCTCTGTTCTGCCATAAAAAAGCAAAAGAAAATCCCCTTCACTTCTGTAGAGCCTGGGGTTTTAGTTTGAGGGGATATAGGCTTTAATGCTCAGAACATCAGCTGAGGGAATATTCATTTGTGCCACTTACATCGACAGATGCAGAGAACAGCACAGTGAGTGTATTAAACTCTCTCTGTATACTGTATATTGATGCACCAAAACCTAGGGAGCTGCCCACCTAGACAGCATTTTTGGTCATCATAGGTTTATTTGTAATGCATAAAAATACTGATTACAAAAATGTACTATGGTTTCCAGACAATGTGCAATGGTAATGCCATGATAATCTTTAAAAATAATTATGTAAATGCCATGGTAAATGAATTTGGTGATCATTTATTACCATGGTATACACTCATATACACCAAGAAGTCTCTAATACTCATTAAGGCTGTATTTATTTGATCAAAAATACAATAAAAACTACATTTTGTAACAATTCAAAATAACTGCTTTCTATTGTAATATATTTTAAAAAGTAATTTATTCTTGTACATTTTCAGCATCATTACTCCAGTCTTCAGTGTCACATGATCCTTCAAAAATCATTTTAAAAGGCTGATCTGATGCTCAAGAAACATTTCTTATTATCAATGCTGAAAACAGCTTGTGCTTCTTAATATTTTTGTAGTGTTTTTGTACATTTTTTTCAGGATTCTTTGATGAATAGAAAATTCAGAAGAAAACAATTTTGTATCTCTTGTAACATCATATCATATACTATAGACAACATAATGTTTACTATCACTTTTGATCAATTTAATCCATGCTTGATGTATAAAAGTATACATTTCTAAAAAAAAAAAAAAAAAAAAATCATCCGCAAACAGTAGAACAGCAAAGATAAATTCTGTATAAAAGTGTCTGTTATAGTGCATAAATGTAAAGCAATGTCTCAGACCATAATTATGGTATAGTACCATCACACGCACATTTTGGCAAGTATAGATAGACAGCTCACTGCGTTTTGAAACAGCGTCTGAGGATGATAAAGTAGCAGAATCATATTGCATTAATTCCGTACAAAAAAAATAAATAATGAAAAACCTGCCGGATGCGTTTAAAGACTCGTTTAATGAAGCTGACAGAAGCAGAGGATGGTGTACTGCAGGAAGCGCTCGTGCAGCAGCAGTAACAGCAGATATGTGCGACTGCGGTGCTCTGAGTGCTAATTGAAGAGTATTATCAGTGTTGATGGAGTGTACAGCTCTGATATGGGAGGATTAAAGTGGGATGCTGTGGTTCTTTGATATGGAACACAGCCCAGCACACCGCTGAGAGAGGCTTGGGACACAAGCCTGATACGGGCTGATACGCCATGACTAAGGCCAATCTAGAGCTCGCACGCAGACTCTCGCTCACTTTCTCTCTCTGTCTCCTTTCCTCCTTCTCTTTGCATATGCTGTATTTGTGTAAGCGCTTGTCACCATACACTAACAGTACAATAGTATCTCAAGCCATCTGTCAAGCCATCTGAGTGTATGGTGCATGCTCAGTTTAATGCCTGTTCTTGATACTGTTGGAATGTAGATCATTTAAAAGAGGAGACAGATCTTTTGTCTTGTATTTGTGCTGTTTATTGATTTTGCCTCGTTAAGTAGAAGATGCTGCTGGAACGTGCCATAACATCATTCACATTCTCAAGTGATGAGAATGCACCTTGCGTCCAAAAAAAATTACTTCCAGATGTGGAAACATTGAAAATAAGTTAAATCCTAAGTTTTGGGATAGTTGTTTGCAAATTTTTTAGATTCATAGTATTTTATTGGCTAGATTTTTTTATTTCTTGGTGTGTATTATGGACACAGACTGCAATTTTTTCACTTCAGACAATTATTTCTTCCAGTCGGTGGATATTATGCATGTTGTTATGCGTCAAATAGCAGCAAGGCACGTTTCTGTGTGAATTTGTTGTTTTAAGCATGACTTGAAATTCTGGTAGTGTGTGATCCTCAGTCAATTAGTGTACAGTATGATGTCCAGTTTTTCTCTGTTACCATTTACAAAGTCTTTATGGTTACTGTAAGAGGTTTGATTGGTTATTGTAACAAGTATACCCAAGTGTGAACACCCAAATTCACACCCACATGTGCCAAAAAGTCTTCAGAGTAAAAAGTAATTTTTACGTTACTTTAAAAGTAACGTTAAAAAAAAAAATTATATGCAGATTCACATGCCAATAAAAAAACTGCAATCATGCTAGAATGATTATCCAATATAAATTCATATCCAGTAACAATGAAAGACTAGAATAGCCATGGAAATTCAATAAACGTTTATTTTAAGATTGGACCTGCGGTCATGAACCATCTTAGATTCGTTTGTCAGGACAGTGATGAGGCATAAATTCCCATCAGTGTATATGGCTGTCTGTTTTTCATGTGACCATCCAAGTCACCGTCACTAACTCGGAGTTAAAGTTTAAGAGCATCAGTGCTGAATTCTCTGAAGAGCTCTCCTGACACACTTGTGTGTAGTGGGCTGAAGAGGGCCAGGAGGGAGAGATAAAGCAATTGACTTGACTCCGATGCTGCAGGTCACTTGTGTTTTTGGCTTCATTCGGCCTCTAGAGCCTCTCCTGAATCACGCTGTCAGATTACACTGCGGCTCTGTCGTTCAGAGCAGGACAGCTGTGAAATATGAGCAGTCAGCTGTACAGAAACAGAAACAAGCTGAAAATGATGGATGGATGGATGAACAGATGGACGGAAGGAAAATAGATAATTAGATGTGATGGATGGGTGGGTATTATAGATCGACAGACAGACAGACAGACAGATAGATGGATGGATGGATGGATGGATAGATCCATTGTGATGGATGCGTGGGTAGGTAGTGTTTCATGGTGACCGTGATTTGACCAAGTACAACATGTTCCTGGATCAACATCCTTGTTGATCCTGGAACAACATTCCTATCAACCAATCAGAATTGAGGGATAACTTTTCAGGAAATATCTGTTTTAGGCTTACAATCATGGTTAGGTGCTTCTACACCCTTGTTAATCAGCTATCATTTCACACTGTTTTTAGGAATAAATTATGGGTAGGGATTGGGTTAGGTCTATATTTTTGGACAGTTATGTTGATCCATGATCAGAGATAATTAGCCGTGTTTTTGGACAGATAGATTTGGATGGATGAATGAATGGAGAGAGAGAATTAGCCAGCTGTGTCTCTGTGGCAGCATGGCCCAGCTGCCACACAGCGAGTGAGCGTGTCCTGGCCTCTGCTGTATACATTAATGATGACAATGATGACAAAGCTTCAGAGGGCAGTGGAGCACACGGCTCTTAGCAAGCGCCATGAGTCCAGAAGGCATGCAGGGTCAGGGATTGATCCAACCCAGCCAGACCAGACCGGCCCGGCCCAGTCCCTTCCTGATCCAGTGAGGGTTAAGACTCTATCAGTCAGCAGAGACCTTCATCTCCCCCCTCCTCCACCACCTCCACCTATGCCTTACAAGAGCCTGGAAAGACTTTCTCTGCTGCCATCAATTTTTCATGCGCACTGAGGTGCTGAAGAAAAAGCGGCAAGTTGTTGAGCTTTTCCCCTCGCCTAATCTCTCCTACACACGCTAAAGTCACTCACTGGAATAAAATAGCCAAACGATTTTGTTATATTCAACATAGCATGTTCTGCTGGGGAATAAAACAGCTGTCGGTGAAGGGGAAAAAGGGACAGAGATGGGTGTGCGGAGAAAGTTGATGAAGAGAGGCTGTGCTGAAACTGCAAAGTAAAATTTATTTGACCTAAAAATGTAATGACATTCTCATTTCTGTGGATTTAGTTTTACCCCCTCCAGGGATGTTAATGCAACTTGTATTTTTGACCCATAAAACATTAAAATTATTGAACAAAACACTACTGGAGTAGGGCAAGGAGGTACCCTGGCTGTATTTTGAACTAAATATTTGGGTTCTTAGTGTTACACATTAATCTACTATACACTTGTATATTAATTTAAATATATTAAAGGTGCTGTATGTAGGATTGACACCGAGTGGTTGAACTAGGTATTGCAGTCCAAATTCAAAATATTGGAGAGGGTTTTTTTCACCCGGTCCCTCCTCCTCAGACTTGACGCACACGCAGGTTGCCAGATTGACGACACCCAACACTTTCGTTTGCCAGCTTCCATGACTGAAATTAAATACGCCATGTTTCCCACCAACTGGCAACCCGGGGTCCCGAAATACAATTGGGTAAACTGGCAGTGGGCGGGTTTCACAAATCAAAACAGAGACCGACATTCCGGCCCGGAACACACATTTTCAAAGGAGAATAACTGACTGTAGCATTGTTTTTCAGATAAACAAATATGTTAACTTAGCATGTTTCTTAAATATCTGCAAACATATTATGGTATTTTTATGCTTTAGTAGAGTCAAGAACTTCCATACAGCACCTTTAATGAAGAATTTCTCATGCCCTGTACATAAATTCTGTAATAACGTGGAAACTACTATTGGCTCATGCTGTAATGTAAATAAAACCTTATATGATTATATGCTATTAATTCTGATAAACTTGATTCATTATTCTGTGTATTATGCATTTAATTAGATTTTTTTTTTTTATTGTTTGACAGCCATAGTATATACTAGTGGTCCTCTCACCATTGTGTTGTCCTCTCTGTTTCAGCTGATGACCAAACACCCAGGCAAGCGTCTGGGCTGCGGTCCTGAGGGTGAGCGGGACATCAGGGAACACGGCTTTTTCCGTTACATGGATTGGGAAAAGTTGGAGAACAAGGAAGTTCAGCCACCGTTTAAACCAAAAGCCGTAAGTCCAGCCAGTCACCTCACCTCTAACACACACACACTAGGGATGTAACGATTACCGGTTTGACGATAAATCATGATAAAATTCTCCACGGTTAGTATTACCGTTTCATCTTTTAATTATCATTAAAACTGTATTAGATTACCATGATTTGAGCAACTCGCGATAAATAAATACTTTCCAGCATAAAGCACAGTTTTCAATAACAGTCTCACGTGCGCACAGCAGCAGAGTAGTTTCGTTTTGAGTGAAAACAGGGCGGAAAAGCTGGGAGGTTTTAAAAGAGTGCTAAAGGAATTATACAAATGAATATATGAATGAATGATTTTTACTTGTATCTTTTCTTTATTTAAAGGCTGAAATGTGAGGTTTACCTTTTTCTTAAACTTTTTCAAAGCTTTATTTGAACATTTACATTATTCAACATGATATTAAACTGTTGTCAGTCAAGTTGTCATTTAAAATCCGAAGATCATTGGTAATGTTATTGTTTTAGTGATTATGCAAACAGAAAGTCATTTTATTTGTTGTTCGTTGATTTTTAAATATAAAACTTGGTGAAGTGATTTATGAGTTGTACTTTTTTAACATCTCCAGCACATTTTAACAATACCGTGATAATACTGATAACCACGATAATTTTGGTCACTATAATCATGATAAGAAATTTTTATACCGTTACATCCCTAACACACACACACACACACACACACACACACATTCTCTCTCTCTTACTTGCATACACTCCTTGCTTGTTGCTGTGATCTAAAACCCTGGTGGTTATTTCAGATTTGATTCTAAATTCGAGTTTCATTACCTATTTTTTTTAGCCTGATAATTAACACATAATGCGTGACATGGTTTACCAAAGTAAGACAAAATTGCATCAACATACTTTGTTGTTTCTGGAAAAAATATTCCTATCAACAACCATAACTCTAGTGTTGTTCTTAATCCTATAAAAATGTCTAATCCCAATCCAACCTCAACCTAACTTGATTCAAACTCATCAATTAATCTATTCGGACTAAATTACAATTTGAATTTCAGTAAGTAGAATCGAAAGGGACTTCAATTACAAAAAATACAACTGCTATAGGTGTATTTTGTTATAAATTTTTGAGTATAAATTACTCAATCATGTTCATACAACATACAGGCTATTTTTAGAAATATTAGATGATGGAATAATCAATGTCACCTGTAGACATTTGTATTTAATTTATATGTTTATCAATATATTTAATAAATTAACTTTCATTTAATTAATTTTTTTATGGTGAAAGAACATATTTTCTAAAATGCTATAGTTCATACAATATTATATTAATATGTTATATAGTCAATAGATTGATCATTTGATGTCAGTATATATTTTTATGAAGTAAAAATCTGTTATGAATCAAAAACAATGTTGGACTTTTGTTTATTTGTTTTTGAAAATAAAATTAGGCAAAATTAGGATCTGTTTTGTTATCTGTGTAAAGTTGGTAGACATTAGAAAAAGTATTATGTATTTCAGGGAGTAAATTGGCATAATTATCCAATAATTATTAAACCATTTATTTTTTTGTCTCAAAAATTGTGTTACATTATTTTAAGGTGTCCTTGTTACAGTGTAATTTTACATATAAGTACTGAGTAATATTAATTAACTACATGTACTACTTACTATATGGTTAGGGTTAGGATTAGGGTTTACTTGCATGTAATTATGCATAATGTATTGTTATTATAATAGTAAGTACATGTAACATGTGTAACAAGGACACCTTAAAATAAAGTGTACCAAAATTTGTACTGGATTGAATTACAAGTATTATATTTAAAGCATTGGAATAAGTGAAATTCAACACTTGTGTTTCATTGAATTGCAACAGTAAATTCTTCATGTCATTCAAATTAAAATTCCATTTCACCATCCTGTGGGGCTTAATTTAATTCTAAATCTTATCAAATAATTTTTTCTTTAATTCTAAATTTCACTCAACCCTGCAGTCTATAAACCTAACCCTAATATCAGAGGGCTGTGATTGGTTAAAAGGAATGTTGTCTCAGGACCAGCAAAGGATGTTGATCCAGGAAAACGTTTTACTTGTGTAAATCACATTAAGCGACCTGTAACGGCACAAACTCAAACTGGCCGACTGGACCCGTAGTTTTCGAAGACAGTGTCAAAGTAGTCAAATTCTGCTGTTCTGTAGCACAGAGATGACGAGTCAAACTTTCAGGGCTATGGAGAGCAGTAGGGTGTAATGAGGAGTCTGTATGTCCTCCTTCACACCACAGCAAGAGGCACAGCAGCATCTTAGCTTCGTTAGTGGTGTGTGCGCTAGGGCTCCGGCCGAGCTGAGACGCGTTTGTCAGCCTCAGTCAGATCCTTAATGAGTACAGCTTCTCTTGCGTCTGTGTGTGTGTGTGTGTGTGTGTGTGTGTGTGTGTGTGTGTGTGTGTGTGTGTGTGTGTGTGTGTGAGAGCTGTCAGATGGAGCATGCATTGCCCAGGCAGTGCTGCATAGTGCTTCCCTCCACATCAACCCTCCTGACCTCCCGCTCGGACTCAGACTGGCCTGTTAAACGTGATCTCCTTCCTGCAGCACCTCCCTGGCATTGAGGTCTCTGTGCGCTCATTGAGAACAGATTGTCCTGTTGATTTTAGAAAACCGAGTTCACTGCTGCCATTAACTTCATCTTCACCTTAAAATCGGAAGTTTTACTTTAGCACTTGAATTGAATGTGTTAGTTTTAGTTGAAAGGGCAGAAGTGTGTAATTTCTGTGCCACTAGTGTCACCAAACGGAATTGTAAAAATGATGGTTTTCAAACAGGTTTCCTTAAAAGTCCTTCATACCTCCAATGGACAAGCAAACAGATAGTCCAACTTCCAAGTTCACACCGTTGGTTGAGCCGATGTTTTTGAGAGAGCAACGTTTTTGGCGTCAAACCTCATTGGTTCTTGCTTGTCTCATAACCAGTTGTAACAATGCTACTGTACAGTATATAGTGTAATTCAGTAAAATTTTTATTTTACTATATTTTCTCAGATAATTTGAAGGAATAGTTCATCCCAAAATTTAAATTATTAGCTCTCAGGCCATCCAAGATGTAGACAAGTTTGTTTGTGCTTCGAAAAAGATTTGGAGAAATGTAGCATTACTGTACATCACTTGCTCACCTGTGGATCCTCTGCAGTGAATGGGTGCCATCAGAAAGAGAGTCCAAACAGCTGATAAAAAAACATGTTTGGACTCTCAATAAACAACAATAATCCACTCCAGTCCATCAGTTAGCAAGCTGTTTGCAATAAAGAAATCCATCACGACATTTTAAAACCGGCTAAAATATGAGTCCTTTCTCCATAATAATACTTTCTTCAATGAAAACATCATGTCATCTGAATCAGGAGAGTAATATCCACAGATCAAGTACCATTTACAAGCAAACACCATCCAAAACAGTTTTAAACAAATATGTTAATGTGATTTTGATGTGAAAGCAGAACAGCGGAGGAAGCATTATCATGGATTATGGACTGGTAGCGATGTTTATAGTTAAAACACCTTAATGATTGATTTGTTTCGTACAAACACACGGCTTTTCACTTCACAAGGCATTAATTGATGGACTAGACTTACTTGTGGATTATTGTGATGTTTTTCACAGCTTTTTCTGGCGGCACCCATTCACTGCAGAACATCCATTAGTGAGCAAGTGCTGTAATGCTGAAATTCTCTAAATCTGTTCCCAGTTTTCAGGCTTGCTTATACTGTGAAACAGCAGTGAGGTACATTAGCTCACTGTTCAGGTGTGTGTGATTGGGAGTGTTCATGTGGTGTTGGCTGCCTGTGTAGCAGCAGATGGATGTTTGTGTGCTGGTGTCATTAGCTGAGCAGAAAGACGGATGATTTTAGACCCTCTTCGTGACGACGGCCGCATGCTTGATGGACATTCAAATAACTGTGATTTACAAACTCAGGCAATTATGATCTGAATGAGACTCGTGTTGTCTCATGTGGAGACCAAAAATTCATGCAGACAGACATTAGCTCTGTTCCAAAACTCAGTAAGAGGCATTCAGGGGCAGCATTTTAAGGAGTCAAAGGCAATCCCAGAATGCACTGCAACAAACACAGTGAGAAATAAATCCACGATGTCAGAATATGCAAGTTAAATGTGATTTACAAATATAATTAATTCAAAACTAAAAATTAGGCATGCACTGAAAATGATTGCCAATATGTATCTTTTTTTTTTAATCAATATCAATGTATTAATATGTATTTTTTGTATGTTTTCATGCCATTGCAGGGGCGTTGCTAGACCCTTTTATGAGCCCCAGTAAAATATCGCTGTGCCCCACTAAAAATATTACTGATAAATCCTTGATCTAACTGGCCATACTGGTTTGCAAAAAGGTTGCAAAAATTGTTTGTGATTAAGTTTGATTCATTCAAACAGTTTATCCACAGAATAATTTGCAGCGATGTTTCACCCCACAATTTGAAATTCATTTCTCTGTATCAGTATCAAAATGTATTTTTAAATGGTCAATATTAAAAATTCAGTTTTGTCCAAAGATAAAAAATAATAATACATTAAACATGAAAATTGTCATTTTTGTTTTGTGAATTAAGGCATCCAAACAAACTAATATACAGTGTGAAATATGGTTAATTCGCTTTCAAATGAGTTGAAATAAGGTGGAAAATCGCTTGTCCAAAAAAGTTTGCCATAATTTATCATTATACCTTTAAACCAGTGAATGATGGCAAATGTAATATAAAATAAATGCAAATGAATGTCACAATTACATACCCCGTAAATAAATGAGAAAATAAAAAAGAATCAGTAATATTGGCTTATGACCGATATGTGCATCCAAATAAGCTTATAATTAAAAATGTTACCCAGAAAATGTTGTATTTATACTTGGTAGTCACATAGTGTCACATTGTTCCTCGTGTCGTCTATATTTATTCTATCAAGTGTGAGATGAATGTTC